CGAACCTGGTGATTATATTCTTCCAGACGAAGCGCTGGCACTGCTTGGTTGTGATGGTTGCATATGCCTCGGCCTCTACCCATTTTGTGAAGTAGTCGATAGCAACCATGACATACTTCTTCCTCCCTTGTGCTTGGGGGAAGGCTCCAATGATGTCCATCCCAAACCTTGCGAATGGAATAACATTGGAAACTGGGTGTTAGTATGTCGCAGGCCTTCCCGGAAACTTGTAGAACACCTGGCAAGTCTTGCACCTTTGCACGTACTTCTCACAATCCTGGTTCATTGTAGGCCAGAAATAACCTAGCAAGATGATCCTTTGTGCGAGTGTCCTGGACATTTGGTGAGCTGCACAGACACCCTCATGAACTTCGGCGATCACTCTTTCCGCCTCCGCCCTGGTCAAGCATCTCAGCAGCGGACCGCCAAATGCCCTTTTGTATAGCCTTCCAGCAAGCATTTGGAATCTTGGAGCCCTCAACTTTACTTTTCTTATCCTATCCTCATCCTCAGGGAATTGCCCGATTATATAGTACCTGACCAAGTCATCCATCCAAATATCATCTGGCTCCACTCGATCTGGATTGGGCTGTCCATCTTCCTCTATCATGCTAACAGAAAAACCTTCAATGCTGGCTTTCTCCAGCGTCTCAATCCTGGCCAGCTTGGACACATGCTCCGGGGCTGCTTGCGTCAATTTTGATAGCAAGTCAGCATCGGTGTTTTCCCCCTAGGGATTTGCTCCATCACATACTCAGTCAAATCCTTCAATAATGCCCTTGCCAAGTCCCTGTACTTCTGCATCTTCTCTCCTTTGGCCTCCATGTTGCCATTGATGTGGCCTACCACCAAGCTTGAGTCAGATTTAATCCGGAGGCATGTGATTTGTAGGGTTTTGGCCAATCTCAGACCCCCTATCAACGCCTCACACTCCGCCTCATTATTTGTGAGTTTGAAGTTAAAGATCAAAGCATGATATACCTTGAACCCTTCCGGAGTTGTGAATACTACACCTCCCCCGTAACCTTTCGGCCCAGAAGCTCCATCTACCGACATAGACCACCAAGGCTCGGTGATGGCCCTGGCCGGTTCTTCTTCTTGATGACCCGTCATCTCTACAAGAAAGTCAGCCACAGCTTGCCCTTTTATCGCCGTCCTCGGACGATATTCAATGTTGAATTGGGTAAGCATCATGGCCCATTTGATCATTCTTCCTGATGAAGTGGAGTCCCTCATGACCGTGCCTAATGGTAGGTCGGTCAATACGACAATGGGATGGGCCTGA